AGCACGGACTAGGGTGTCCCGGGGGGAACAGTCTCTGCAAAATGCGGACAGGGGAGTGAGGGGAAGATGTGTTTGGCGGTGGCGTTCTCTTGGAGTTGTCTGAAAGGGTGGAGGATGTTCCTTTGAATGCGGAGGCTAGTGGGATGAAAAGTGAGGACAAGGGGCGGCACGGTGGCTCACTGGTTAGCACTGCTGCCTCACAGCGCCAGGGACCCGGGTTCAATTTCGCCTTTGGGCAACTGTCTGTGTGGAGTTTGCACGTTCTCCCCATGTCTGCATGGGTTTCCTCCGAATGCTTCGGTTTCCTCCCACAGTCCAAAAAAGTACAGGCTAGGTAGATTGGCCATGCTAAATTGCCCATAGTGCTCAGGGATGTGTAGATTAGGTGGGTTATAGGGAGATGGGTCTGGGTGGGATGCTCTGAGGGTCGGTGTGGACTTGTTGGGCCAAAGGGCCTGTTCCCACACTGTAGGGATTCTATGGTTCAATCAGGAAGAGGACTCTATCACGCTATTGTGCGTGATGGAAAGAGGCAAGGGCGGAAGCAAGGGTGATAGAATGGATTTATTTGAGGGCCCTGTCAACTACAGTGGGCAGGAAACCATGGTTATGGAAGAAGGAAGCCATGTTACCAATGCTGATTCGGAAGCTGGCATCATCCAAATAGATATGACATAGGTGAAGGAACTTGAAGAATGGGATGGAATCCTGACAGGACGTGGATTGTGAAGAACTGTAGTGAAGGTAGCTATTAGAATCTGTGGCTTTGTAGTGGATGGCAGTGGACAGTTTATTCCCCGAAATGGAGACGAAGTGGTCAAGGAAAGGAAGTGTCAGAGATGGACTACATGTAAGTTATACAGGGTTGGAAATTGGATGCAACAAGGAACAACTTTTTCTGGGTCCAGGTGAGAGCATGAAGCAGCACCGAAGCAGTCATTGACGTTCTGAGAAAAGAGTTGTGGGGGGTGGTGGGCGCAGTGTAGGAGTGGAACAAAGATTCCAATAGCAAAGGAAGGCATAACTGGGCCCCATGCAGATGCCCATAGCCATTCCTTTGACTTGTAGAAGTGAGATGAATTAAAGGAGAAATTGTTCAGTGAGAGAACAAGTTCAGCTAAGCGGAGGAGAGTGATGGTGGATGGAGATTGTTCAGGCCTCTGGTCGAGGAAGAAGCTGAGTGCTCTCAGACCATCCTGGTGGGGAATGGAAGTATAGAGGCATGGGATATACATGGTAAAGAGGAATTGCGAATGTAAGTGGGCAGGATCTTGAAAAGTGGAGAGAGGATGGGGTCAGGGTAAGAGGAAATGCGCTCAGTGGGACAGGAACAAGCTGATACGATTTGCCTACCACGACATTCTGGTTTGTGGATTTTGGGAAGGAGGTAGAAGGGGGCTATCCAGGGTTGGGAGACTGTAAGGTTGGAGGTAGTGGGGGGAAGATCTCTGAAGGTAATGAGGTCAGTGACAGTCCTCACAACAATGGCTTGGTGTTCGGATGTAGAGTCATAGTTCAGGGGAGGTTAAGAAGAAGTGTCCGATACTTGATGTTGAGCCTCTGCAAGGTAAAAATCATGAATGGAAAATAATGCCTCACACAAGCAGGATAGATAAAGGGGAAGGATTAGATGTGATATATTTGGATTTTCTGAAGGTGTTAAATAATGTTCCACACATTAGGCTACCTATAAGCTAGGAGGCCATGATATCAAATACGGTATGTTATCAAGGATAGAGTATTGGCTAACTAATAGAAGATAGAGAGTTGGGATAAGGGGCAATTTTGTGGATGACAAACTGTGACTAGCAGAGTCTCACAGGAATCAGTGCTGGGGCCATAATTATTTACAATATATTAGTGGCTTGGATGATGAAAGTGAATGCACTACTGCCATGTTTGTGGATGAGGATGATAGAAAAAGACTGCAGAGGGATATAGAAAGGTTAAGTGAGTGTCCAAAAACTTCATTGGTGGAACATAATGTGGGAAGATGTGAGGTCATGTATTTTGGCAAGAAGAATAGAAGAGCTAAATGTTACTTAAATGGAGAAAGATTGTAGAAAACTACAAAACAGAGGGATTTGTGAGTGCTCATCCATGAATCATACAAGGTTCTTAGAAGACTTGAACCTTAGAAGAAGGTTAGATGCAGAAAAGTTGTTTCCCCTTGTCAGAGAGCCTCAAACCAGGGTATATAATCTGAATAAAGGGTTGTACATCTCTGACGGAGATGAGGAGGAATGTCTTCTTTCAGAGGGCAGTGAATCTGTGGAATTCTGTATGGCAGCGGGCTGTCAAGTCTGGGTCATTAAGCATATTAAAGGCTGAGGTAGATGGATTTTAATCAATAAGGGAATCAAGGATTATAGGGAAAATGCAGGAAAGTAATTGTCAGGTCAGTCTTGATCTTAATGGTGGAGCAGAATTGATGGACTGAATGGTCAATGTCTTATGTTGTACAATAGGAAGCAACATGTTTGATTATTTATACATTGTTACTGACCATTGTCTCAATGACAACCCTTTTTACTCATTCCCAGCAGAGTCTCCTTAATAGGAGTGGGGGTGTGATTCTTATTCTGATGGTTAACTACTGTTACCTTGTGTCACATCTGTTGCCTTGTCCTTTAACAGAGAGACAGAAGTTACTGCAATCTGTTTTGGAGATGTATCTGCCAGAGCTGAATATCTGGCAGTGTGAAAGTTGTGACGTGTAAGAGAAAGTAATTTCAAATTCTGAAGGTGAGATTTGAGTTCTGGTTGATAGATGTCATTGGTAGGTGAGTGAAGGGGCTGTGGTAATGGATAAATGTGTGAGCCTAGTAATGCAGTGAGTAGAAAATGGCTTGAAAGGATGTATTCACTGACCTTGCCCAATTTTGTGAAGTTATTAAATGCTGTTTTGCACTGTATTCAGGTTCTTGGAGTTGCATTGATCAATGCTGCCGCCTACTCCCATTGTCGTCACACCATCTTTCTGCCTCCTAACCCCTGACTGAAGAGGACTCTTCAAAATACCAACACCTACAGTGTGATAGTACCAGAATCATATAATCCCTACAGTGCAGAAAGAAGCCCATCGAGTCCTGTACCGACTGAACGTGGGTCCCTGGCACTGTGAGTCAGCAGTGCTAACCACTGAACCCTTGTGCTGTTGGACATATGGTTCTGGCCTTTACTCCATTTTTGGAGCCTTTTCCTATTTTCCAACTGTTATGGATCAGACCAGACCAAACCCCCTCAAAATATATTCAGAAGATAGCCTAGACCCTAACGTTTTCTTATTTTAAGTGTGAGCCATTGCATTCTAGATGCAATTTGATTGGTTAAACTGCTCGACTTTACGTAAAACATGCTTTATTTTTACACTATAATTAAAATACAGATAAAATAAAAATAAAATAGAAGAATTGGCTTAACTGTGGCTCTATCAAAATGCTTAACAAATTAATATATATATATTTCCTATTATTTAGACTGTTCCAATTTAATAACAATGCATAAACACACCCTTGGCAAGGGCAAATTCAGTAAAATAAATTGTCTCACCTGCAATTCTAGTAGCAGGAAGAGACCTCCAGCTTTTAGCTGTAACAGAGAGAAGAATAAGAGCTTCAAGCAGCATCATAGGAGCAGGAAGGCTGACGTTTCGGGCCTAGACGCTTCATCAGAA